TGCGATCACTCTCCTAACACGCTCCTAAAGGTGGAAAGAATATTAAAGCATAAAGAAGGCCCTATCCCTTCTCCCCAGAAAAAAGGAAAAGGACACAACAATTGGGGAAGCCATTTTGGTTCAATGCGCCCAAGATCCACACACACACACACACACATGCCAAAAAGAGCATTCATCCAAGACCCAGATAAACGCAAATAAATAAATTCATGAGTTCTGTTTTATGGCGGCCGGGTGGATCGAAACCCCCCACAGGGCGGCATTCTTTAAGAGTCCCCTGCAACCGCCGGAGTCCACTCTGCGCGGGGAGTAGTAGTAGTAGTGGTAGGCGGGATAAACAAAGGAAACTACCGTCAATACCGTGCAGCGCGCAGCACCATTGAAAACTAAATTAATTAATGCACAACGAAATGCCGTGGTCAAACACGACGCGCTACGAAAAAACTGAGCCTATCTGAGCACACCTGCTTTCCGAATGCTTCTACGCATTCGCTGAGTTCAAAGAGAAACAGGGGCCGCGCCAACAAATCCTTTGCCCATAACCACAGCTAAACAAAGCAGGGCGCGTCGATATGTTCTGAAGGAGGGTTTCATCCATTCTCCCGCACACCTCCTTCCCACAACATCGCCACATTCTCTTCCTCTATTGCCTTCTTTTCCCTTAAAGAGGGCAGAGGGGTTTAGTCAATATCCGAGAGCCTTTGCCGAGGGCGCTGAGGCAAGAACATCTCGCCGTTTAAAACCGTTGGTGTGTCAGGAGCGCCCTGCGGCATGTCACGAACATCCCGATTTCGACGGCTCTCCTGGAAGAAAGAATCATTTCTGCTCGGCTGTCCATCGTCGTCGTGTCCGCCCTCAACTCCCTTCTCGCCACCGGAATGCGCTTCACTCCCCTGTTGCTCGTCATTTCTTTCCGTCGCCGCATCGCCGTGGGGCGAGTTGCTCGCCTCGCCATCCTCAGTCAACAGGAAAAAACACACGAAGCAAAAAATCATCAACGTAGAAAATAAAAAAGACCCGAGAAGAACATACACCGGAATGAGGGCCGCATATAGTGAAAAAACATCCCCAGCAGCACCGTGACGGGCACGGTCCAAGTCGTTCAGCCGCCTAGATACCATTGAAACCGATGCAAGGACAAGGCCAACAGCAATAATGAACGGGATAGATACGAAAAAAATATTGCGGCTGCCCGCAGAATTTCCTCGTGATTTGTGGATGAAAATTCGGTGCAAAGTCGAGTCAAGAAGTGTCAGAACACCAAAGACGTAGAATGGCAGTGGCAAAACCACAAAGTAATTTGCCGCAATGACCTCGTCCACGCGACACGCAATAAGAGCGCTGAATACCACCACAGAAATCCCTTTAAGAATGCCCACAACAAAAAAGATATTCACGTACGCCCACAGTTCGTCGTGTCCGCTATCCTTTAGTCTTTCACGCTTTTGCCTCGTGGGGAGCCTTGTAATGATGCCCAATAGAGTTGACGACGCCACAAATGAAAATTATTGCCGCCGCGCAAAGATGTCATGCCGTTTGCATCCCTGGCAACAGGCAAAAGAACGGTGAGTACAATAAGAGAAAGTATGATCAGCGTCCACAAGAAGACTCCTACACGTAACGTGCACATCGACACAAAAAAACAACCAGCGTTGGAATACCGATAATGATGTCAACAATGAACAGCGGTGAAAAGACCTTGACGTAGTTCCAATAGGCTCGACTGTGGTCGTTCACAGAATGAGCGTCCCGCGCCACAAGACGACCCGCAACATATGCAACAAGAAAAGCAGTAAAAATGACAACCAACGATGCTGCTACAAAAGGTATGCATGCCATAATGCACAAAATCAAACGTCCCCCAAGCTGGAGAATCAGCACTTCCGAGACCGGATTATCCACAAAGCTGGCTCCAAACCTGTCGTACATTTTCCTCTTTTGGGGATTCAAGAGCACCTCGTACGCCGACTGTACCTCCTTGAACCTCTCCGCCCCCTCCGGTCCCGCCCTATCAGGGTGAAACCTTAACGCCAGCTGGCGGTAGTTCCTTCGGATTTGCTCCTGCGTCGCATCGCGTGGGAGTTCAAGACTCTGATATTAATCCGTCATTTCTGTCCTTTCCAAATCCTACTCCTTCTGCTGCGATCACCCAACAACGCGCAAGGAAAGTAGCGCACATGATTGACACCCCGATTCCTTCCCCTCCCTTCCCTCAAAAGGAGGAAGCACAACAACGGTAGGAAAAAAAAAACCACAAGCATCACAGGCAAGAGCGCCCCAAATTTCAAAAAATAAATCACAGAAAAAACAGAAGCCAAATTGCCGTGACGACAAAAGCAAACACACACACACACAAAAAGCTCCTAGAATATTCACCTGGGCCGCTGGCCAGACCTGCGGCTGTCAATAGGATTCACACAAGAAGGGAATGAGAAGGGGTGAATGGAATGGGGACGGGGGTTCGCCAAATCCCCAATGAGAGTTTACACCAAGTGAGCGCATATTTATATATGCACATTATGGTGGCTACTATCGTAACTTGATCGCTCCATTCGGATTGGACGTGCATGTACATATATATATATATATATATATATACGTGTGCGTGTTTGTGTATGTATGTATTCACAACCTAAAAAGTGGAAGACTTTGGGCTCCTCCAGCCTCAAGACCCCGCCGCAAGGTAAGAACCACAAAGGGGGCGGGTGGGACGGCAGAAACAAAAACAATTAAAACTCATCCAGAAGTTATCGGTTCCCTGATTGCTACCATCGGGGTCTTCTAAAAGATTCATAAAATAGGAAAAACTCCCAAAGAAATATATCCTTTCAATCAGGATATACATGTATTTGGGCAGCCAGCCTTCCTCGCGAACATTCCGTTCACAAGCTCCTAGTCTTCTGCTCGTCCACACACTTCATTTACCGCCAATCGCAAAACACACATAATAGAACCAAAGGACCATCACACAAAGCCGAGGCAAATAAATAACAATGGAGGAAATCACAACTCACACGGGCACCTCGCACACACGCACACACAGCCTCCCTCCATTCACTCCACCACTCACAAGAGTGAAGACATGGGTAGGAAAATCCCGCCGCACCGCAACGAAGGGCCATGGGCACAGCACACCCACGGCCGCAACAAGAGGGACGGGACGCATCCAAGTACACGCCGCAGTCCTTTACTTGTCGCTTCCCCGACGGATAGGCATCACGCCTCACAGCAGGTCGTGGCGGGTGGCATCCCACACTCACAGTGAGGCACGGCGCACACCATCCGCTCCCCCGAGTGCACTCAGCAGGCCGGCGCCCAGTCACCCTCGTACCATCGCAATGGGGAACACAAACAATCGTCGTCGCGGACCATCGGTGCCTCTAGCAGGAAAGAAATTAGAAGAAATGGAGGCATTTCAGCAGCACAGCCAGCAGAGAGACAATAAAAGGGACACGGAGACACACAATGACAGTGAACACGGCACAGACGGAAAGAGGTGTAACGATTTACCAAAAAGAAAAAAGAAAAAAAACATAAAAACAAAAGAAAAAAAAAATGTGGGGGCCCGGCAGAACTCCCGAAAAAAGAAAAAAAAAAAAAAAAAAGAAAAAGAAACAAACAAACGAAAAAAAAAAAAAAAAAGCGATTTGGCGCGACTTTAATTTCGTTTCCTCTGGAGTACAATACGACCGTGTTTTTGAGTTCATACATACTGTCCACACACAGAAAAACAACAACAACAAAAAACAAATTGTTCCACGAGCCCACACAAAATTCTTCACATTCCATGCGGCATCCGGCCTGCTCCTCCACTCCTCCTCTCGTGCAGTCCGTGGGACGCACGACAATGAGGCCGGCACCGCGTGTGGGTAACAAAAGCAAAAGCAAACAAGAGGGGGAAACACATCACTCATGACGATGTGCAGCAAGCGACCATTTGGGGGGAAAAACACACAGGGGTGCTGGTTATTTCAACAGAGCACCAGCAAAAAAAAAAAAAAGAAATGAAACAAAAAGAAAAAAAAGAAAAAAAAAGTAAAAAAGAAAAAAAAAGTAAAAAAAAAAGAAAAAGATGTATTCTTGACATTTGATTGCGTAGTGCTGGGAAGCTGCACATTTGTTGTTCCACTAAAAGCCGCAATTCCACCCTCCCTCACACCTCAGCAGAGAGCCGCAGTGCCCCACAGCCCCAGAAGCAGCAACAACAACACCCGAGACACACACACATGCACGGTGCTGTCACCAATTAGAGCCATGGCCGCCAAATCGCGGAACTCAAGCAAAATGTCGTGGTCCGAGGGTATTGTTGCGTTGAGCTCCGATGGGACCTTGGTTTCCCCAGGCGCTGCGCTCGAAGGAGTCGGCGCGGCATCAGCGCCACCCGACACGTTAGTGCTGCTGAATGAATCGGGGCCGCTGTTCGTGCCCACGCTCTCCGAAACATCAGGTGAAACGCTGTGCGGCGCCTGATCGTCGGTGTTGCCGTTCCGCGGAGATTCTTCATCCGCTGTGTCCACCTGCCCCGTCAGCGGTGAATCCATATTGGGAGGAAAGTGCTCCCCACTGACAGGCATCTCGGTTCCAAGTAACTCATGACTGCCCGCGTTCTGCGTTTGTGACGATGTAGGCGCAAAGGCACCGCTGCCAGGTGACTCTTCTTCCACCTTTTCTACACCAGCTGAGGTGAAGGGTTCAATGATATCAGAAGATGTTTGCTTGGAATCTGCTGGTCCACTTTCACTTTCTGATGTTTGCGCTGGTGAGTGTTGACTTCGTGGTGCTGATGTGGCGTCTTGCTGCGCTTCAGGCGTGACGACGGGCACATTGGCGGGATGACGAGAAGGTTCACTCACATTGGTAGTTTGAGCCGCAACTTCCTGGGCCGGCACCTTCGCCGCTGCAGCAGCGACTGTGTTCCTCTTCATTAAAGCATTGAGCTTTGATTCGTTCAAAGCGCGGTTGTACAGCAGGACGTTGCTCACCGTCACATTAATGTCGTCCGAGTTGCTCGTACTGTCCCCGCCAATGTAAAAGTGCGAGATGCCGTGGGACCTCAACAGCGTTCGTAACTTTTGATTAAAGCCGTAATCCTCCCCGTCCTCATAATCATTGGTGTAGTATATCTCCTCTCCATCCACGTACACACTCACGCCATCATAATGATGCATTTCCAGTGCCACCTGATATTTTTTGTTTGTTTCCCATCCAACACCGTCATAATACGCCGAGGAATTCCGAAGACTCTCACTGAATTTTACCTTCCACTTCTTTTCGTGGGTGTACGACAGACCAAAGAGCAGGGTGCCTTGTGCATCGTTCATCCTCACACCCATCAAAGGGATAGAGCTGCTTCCCTTCGGCTCCTTGTGAATGGACACTGTCGCCACAAGAGTGAACTTGTAGTTCGCAAAGTAGTACGGCACATTCTGCCCCATTTTGCCAACAGGCCACTCCGCCCCTGCTCCGGACCCTTCGAACGTCAATCCACCATCCGCCGCTGGCTTCCCTTTCTTCACTGTGGCATTCACCCCGAGGTACTCGTCTGCCCACGTGCTGTCAGTTGACTTGTTGGATAAGAAGCCAAACAGCCCTTTAGTGAGGGCTTCACCACAGTCACAGCGCCAATTATTCCTCCATTCATTCCCGCAGCCGTATTCCCTCGCAATGTACGCGTCCTTCTCCTTCCATGCAGCCACCACCTTCTTCATCTCCTCCAGCTTCTCCGTCAGGTCCACAAAAGTAATGTTGTAGTTATCTCCCCCTGCAGCAACCTCGTACGAGCAGTACAGTTTCTTCTCTTCCTTCGGTCCTTCCTTTTTCAATGACTGCGCTTCGACCGTGGTGTACAGCAGAGTGCTGGCGGCGACGTTCTCATTCTCAGCGGATATCGGCCCAACATCATAAATTCGCTGCATGTCCGTCAGCCACAAGTGAAGTCGGCCCGTTTCTTTACCGTTCTTCTCAGCATATACCGGCCGACTGACGAGGATGTATTTCTGTCCATCGATCATCGCGCTGACGAAGCCACCCTGCACGCCGTGCCCTGTACGATTCAGCGAGTTGCCCCACACGCGTGAAAGAGTGTCGTATTCCTCATACCACCATCTCCCCATGGCGCTTGACCAGTAAACCCTGCGGCTGCCGTCATCACACGACGTCATCATGATAATTTCATCATTCCATTCAAGGACCGCAGGCTGGATGCATCCCTCATCACTCGTATCCTCCGAG